TGTCTTTAATACATAATGTCTTTAATACATAATGTCTTTAATACATACTGTCTTTAATACATACTGTCTTTAATACATAATGTCTTTAATACATAATGTCTTTAATACATAATGTCTTAAAGACATTATGTATTTAATGAGCAATCTAAAGTTCAAAAGTGTAAAATATAAGATTATCTTTTTTTAGAATGTTCCACGTTACAAGTGTTAAACGTAACCATCTTACCCAGCTGGTTTTCCTGGGCTGCAGATCTCTGTCTAAGGGTCCGATCTCCTCAAAGTTCCCAAAACCAGTTCCTGATCCTCCTGGTCCGCCCTGAGTGCACAGAAACCAAACTGATGTCACATTCAGCAACCTTCAACAAAACAGATTTTCCAGTTGAGGAAGTCAGAACGGGTCAGAGCGTCAGACAGGTGACGATATCGGTAACTTGTAAAACGTATTGATCTTGTGTGGTTGCTGGCTCTTCTCCAAAGCTTTGTAATGAATCAGAGTCAGTCAGAGTTTCTTTATTGTCATTCGCACCTCATGTGGTACATGTGGTGGAGCGAAATTATGTACGCAGGGTCCCAGTTACATCCAACAATAAAATGTAAAAGAAAAACAGTAATAACATCTAAGATATGAACTAAGAAAAACATCAACTAAATATACACTAAGCACTCATAACATAAAACATTGAACATCAGCACAAACATGAACATGAGTCTGTGAGCAGATGTGCACGCATGAACACATCAACATTGAAACAGATCAGCAGCAACATGAAACAGATCAGCAGCAACATGATATGGTTTTTCACAGTGATTATTCTAGTTAGAGATTCATGAGTCTAACAGCCTCAGGGTAGAAGCTGTTCCTCAGTCTAGTGGTTCTACACTTAATGCTCCTTAACCTCCTTCCTGAGGGGAGTGGGGCAAAAAGTGTGTGTGCTGGGTGGGTGGGGTCCTTCATGATGCAGGTGGCCCTCTTCCTGCATCTGGAGGTGTAGATGTCTGTGATGGTGGGGAGACTGATTCCAACAGATTTCTGTGCAGCCTTCACCACTCTCTGCAAAGCTTTTCTTTCTGCAGCTGTGCAGCCTCCATGCCACACATTGATGCTGGAGCACAGGATGCTCTCCACTGCACACCTGTAGAAGGAGGTGAGGACTGAGCTTCCCAGACCAGCTCGCCTCAGCCGTCTGAGGAAGTAGAGTCTCTGATGAGCTTTCTTGATCAGGCTGGTGGTGTTGTTGCTCCAGCTGAGGTTGTCATTCATGTGTACACCCAAGTACTTGTAGCTGGAGACCACTTCCACCGCAGATCCTCTTATGTTCAGGGGGGTGTAGGTGTTTTTGTTCCTTCTGAAGTCCACAATCATCTCCTTTGTCTTCTTCACATTGATGTGAAGGTTATTCTCTCTGCACCAGCTCTCCAGGTGTTCCACCTCTTGCCTGTAGCTGGACTCATCATTGTTTGTGATGCATCCCACCACCGCTGTATCATCTGCAAACTTGACAATGGGACAGCCTGGATGGGTAGCTGCACAATCATATGTGAGCAGAGTAAACAGAAGGGGGCTCAACACACATCCCTGAGGAGAGCCAGTGCTGAGGGTTATGGTGGAGGAGGAGAGGTTGTGGATCCTCACTAACTGTGGTCTGTTTGTTAAAAAGTCTAGTACCCAGTTGCAGATGGAGGGGCTTAGTCCTAGTGTGGATAGTTTGTCCATCAGGGTTTGGGGGATCATGGTGTTGAAGGCGGATGTGAAATCCACAAAGAGCATACGGACGTAAGAGTTTTTCTGCTCCAGGTGGTTGAGCGCAGTGTGGACCACAGAGGAGATTGCATCCTCTGTTGATCGGTTCTCACGGTATGCGTACTGATGAGGGTCCTCGTTGATGTTGATGGTTGTTTTGATGTGAGTCATGACCAGTTTTTCGAAGCATTTAGCGACTATCGGGGTGAGGGCCACTGGCCGATAGTCATTCAGACCAGTCACTGTAGAGCTTTTTGGGACTGGGATGATGGTGGCAGTCTTCAGGCAGGTGGGAACTGTCTCCAGGGTAAGTGAGGTGTTAAAGATGTCTGCCAGCACCTCACAGAGCTGATCAGCACATTCCTTCAACACTTTTCCGGGGATGTTGTCTGGGCCAGTTGCTTTGTGCGGATTAATCCTCCTGAAGGTACTCCTTACTTCTGCTGAGGTCACGCTGAGATGCTCTTCATCCGGTGGCGAGGTGAGTCTGGTGCTGGGTGGTCTGTTCGGGTCTTCAAAGCGTGCATAGAACTTGTTGAGGGCATCAGGCAGAGATGGGTCTTTGGGACATTGTTCGCTCCTTCCTTTATAATCTGTTATGCACTTAATGCCCCTCCACATGCTCCGAGGGTCTTGTGAGATGAATTGACCCTCGATCCTCTTTGCATATGCGGCCTTGGCCCTCTTAATACCAGCAACCAGCTCTTTTTTTGTCCTACTCAGCTCCTCTGAGTTTCCAGACCTGAAGGCAGTGTTCCTGGCTTCCAGCAGGGTACGCACCTCTGCATTCAGCCAAGGTTTTCTGTTTGGGTAGCTTTTAACATTTCTGATAGTGGAGACTGTGTCAGTACATGTACTAATGTAACCCAGTACTGAGGATGTGTATTGGTCAAGATCAAGCGAACCTCCATTTTCAGCAGCTTCTCTGAAAACCTGCCAGTCTGTTCGATCAAAACAATCTCTCAGTATGGGTCCACTGTCCTGGCTCCAACATTTAACTTTCTTTTGTTCTGGTCTGGAGCGTCTCAGCGGGGGCATGTAAGCAGGAGCCAGGAAGATTGAGATGTGGTCTGACAGTCCTAGGTGGGGGCGGGGTTCGGCTTTGTATGCATCTTTTACGTTCGTGTAAACACGGTCCAGCGTGCGGTCTCCACGTGTCGGAATCGTCACATGCTGATTAAAGCTTGGGAGACAGTCCTTTAGATTCACGTGGTTAAAGTCTCCGGCTCCGGCTCCGGAATGTGATGAGGTCTACACCTGGTTGTTTTGGGAAGCTCTTTTTCCATGACATGTTTTCAGACGTGACTTGGGAGTTATGATGCTCTCTATTTATAATCACATCAGATTGAGTTTCTTCAATCTATAATTAGTTGGCCTACAAAGCTACACAATCATTTTCAAAGCTGCCATGGGGTCAGAGTTCCTCCATAATGTGAATAGTTAATTTGACAGGACCTGTGTTTCATTCACATCTTTACTTCCACATGTTTTACTCAGTAATGGATGGGAGTTCAAAATATAACGATGTACAGGTCCTTCTCAAAAAATTAGCATATTGTGATAAAGGTCATTATATTCCATAATGTAATGATAAAAATGAAACTTTTGTAGATGAACATATATCTGTGATATATTATCCATAAATTAAACGGATTCATTCATTTTTCTGGACTGAATAATATCGTGCATTGAAATTAAATGTGACGTGAGACGTTAATTTTCTTTGACCCATCAAATGAATGCGGTCATTTATTAACAGAATCAAAGCTTAACATCAAACATTTACATTAATTTGGCAAATTGATTTCAACAACAACATAATTAATTAGCTTTACAGTCAGGAAAACCATACGGCCATGATTTTCCTGCTTCACAACAGACATTTCTGAAAATATCTGGAATGATTACTGGCAAGATAGAAGAGTTTTAAAGATGGAAGATGAAGGAGTTAAAATTGAGAGAGAAGATGGATGAGGGGTTGTTATGTGTCGGCATCAGGACGGCACGCTCCGTTAAGATCCCAGCTTCCTCCTCGGTACACTTAGGTAGTGTAAATCAACTCTTTACCTGTAGAAGGTGTCTCCACTGGTACGGAGTTCCATTTAACGCACCCTTTCAGCGTCTCCGTAGGAATAGCTGTGAATCGTCCGAAGTAGTGCCGGTATTCCGTCCGACACAGGTTCAACCCACTGGTGGACTCACAAGAGGAGTAAGTCCGTCAGAGGCTCCACTCAGATGTGGAAGATTTCATAATTCCCACAAGACTCGGAAGAACTGCGGATCATGTCTGAACCTCCTGTACTCTCCAGCACTTCTTCTGTTCGGTTTTGCTCTCCGAACTGAACTGCTCTCCCACCGCACACAACTGGCTGGAACTAGGAAGTGCCGACATTTAAAGAGTTCTATTTCCGGCTCATTTGGGAAGTTCCTGATTGGTCGATCGACAAAACAGGGGTGTGTTTTAGTGATGTAAGAGGTTATTAAAAGTCAGAAAAACAGAAAAATTGTTTTGGAACGGACAGAAGATGTTTTTGAGACAGACGAGAGAAATGTTTAGGCGAGTTGGGGGAAAACAGGTGCCAGCTTCTCTATTTACGTCTGAGAGGATATAAAAACATGACAGTTCGTTCCAACAACTTGTCTTCGACCTTTGACCGACATCACAACTTGCCCATTTCAGACAGAAGATCAAGAAATTGAATCATTACTCTGTAACACATTCTAACTTGATTTCTACTTTGAATGAGGATTAAAAAAATCATTAACTGTTTCACAGTTGATTTAAAATGAGTAGTTCACTTCAACATTTAAAAATGGTTTGAACTAAACACACTTTGATTATCAAGACATTTGTAAGATAGTAATGATAATAGAAAAAGAGAGTGTTCTTTCAATTGATCAGTGCAGGACACTTAGAAAGTCTCTGGATGAACTTAATCTTGTGTTTCTGGACTCAAATCAATGAAATACAGTTCTTGTCCCAGGAAGGCCCTCAAGGTCAGGATTTGACCTGAGGCTTAGTTCACTACACTTTCATATATTTCAGATTCATTGCACACCAACTGAAATATTTCAGGTCTTTAATTGTTTTAATACTGATGATTATGGCATACAGCTCATGAAAACCCAAAATGCCTGTCCCAAAAAATTAGCATATCATGAAAAGGTTCTCTAAACAAGCTATTAACCTAACCATCTGAATCAACGACATAACTCTAAACACCTGCAAAAGATTCCTGAGGCTTTTAAAAACTCCCAGCCTTGTTCATTACTCAAAACCGCAATCATGGGTAAGACTGCCGACCTGACTGCTGTCCAGAAGGCCATCATTGACACCCTCAAGCAAGAGGGTAAGACACAGAAAGAAATTGCTGAACGAATAGGCTGTTCCCAGAGTGCTGTATCAAGGCACCTCAGTGGGAAGTCTGTGGGAAGGGAAAAGTGTGGCAGAAAACGCTGCACAATGAGAAGAGGTGACCGGACCCTGAGGAGGATTGTGGAGAAGGGCCGATTCCAGACCTTGGGGGACCTGCGGAAGCAGTGGACTGAGTCTGGAGTAGAAACATCCAGAGCCACCGGGCACAGGCGTGTGCAGGAAATGGGCTACAGGTGCCGCATTCCCAAGGTCAAGCCTTTTTTGAACCAGAAACAGCGGCAGAAGCGCCTGACCTGGGCTACAGAGAAGCAGCACTGGACTGTTGCTCAGTGGTCCAAAGTACTTTTTTCGGATTAAAGCAAATTTTGCATGTCATTCGGAAATCAAGGTGCCAGAGTCTGGAGGAAGACTGGGGAGAAGGAAATGCCAAAATGCCAGAAGTCCAGTGTGAAGCACCCACAGTCAGTGATGGTCTGGGGTGTCATGTCAGCTGCTGGTGTTGGTCCACTGTGTTTTATCAAAGGCAGGGTCAATGCAGCTAGCTATCAGGAGATTTTGGAGCACGTCATGCTTCCATCTGCTGAAAAGCTTTATGGAGATGAAGATTTCATTTTTCAGCACAACCTGGCACCTGCTCACAGTGCCAAAACCACTGGTAAATGGTTTACTGACCATGGTATTACTGTGCTCAACTGGCCTGCCAACTCTCCTGACCTGAACCCCATAGAGAACCTGTGGGATATTGTGAAGAGAAAGTTGAGAGACGCAAGACCCAACACTCTGGATGAGCTTAAGGCCGCTATCGAAGCATCCTGGGCCTCCATAACACCTCAGCAGTGCCACAGGCTGATTGCCTCCATGCCACGCCGCAGTGAAGCAGTCATTCATGCAAAAGGATTCCCGACCAAGTATTGAGTGCATAACTGAACATGATTATTTGAAGGTTGGCGTTTTTTGTATTAAAAACACTTGTCTTTCATTGGTGGGATGAAATATGCTAATTTTTTGGGACAGGCATTTTGGGTTTTCATGAGCTGTATGCCTTAATCATCAGTATTAAAACAATTAAAGACCTGAAATATTTCAGTTGGTGTGCAATGAATCTGAAATATATGAAAGTTTCATTTTTATCATTACATTATGGAAAATAAGGACCTTTATCACAATATGCTAATTTTTGAGAAGGACCTGTATAACACTTCTAATAAAACATACTCAAGTAAAAGTATGGATTGAATTACTGGTAATTGCTTTAAAAACTTAAAATTACTCAAAATTCCTTCTTAACTACGTATCACAAGTAAATGTAATTTTTTACTTTCCACCCTGGACATGTTTATCCAGTGATTACTTTCAGAGTGCTTGATTCACTTCTGTGCAGCGGTTAGGACATATTTTACTAAACAGACGGAGTACTAGCGTGGACAGCTGCTGACAGTATGTAGAAATATTTAATACTCAACGTATGAGTTGAGGATCAGGCTCAGCTACTACCACACCACCAAACCAAATGTTTGGTCGACATCTGAAAAATGATTTTTGTTTGATAAAGATCGTCTAATTTGCAAATTGTATTTTGCCCAGTGGTTCGAAAGATATTTTGCTAACACAAACAAGAACACCCACAGACATGAGCAAAAAAAAAAAAAAAAAACCGTGAAGCCTTTAAAGCTGTTGCACGTGACGGGTTTTTAGTTCCTCTTCAGATACAAATAGCAGCTGAAGTCTTAGTCATCAGTCACACACAATGACGTCATCAGCTACAGTTTTATTGAGTGATTAGGGTGGACTGTACCTATACAGCTCCTTTCTATCTGATCAAGACACTCAAAGCTCTTTACTACAATCTGTGCCTCATTCACCCATTCACACAGCTCTATACTAGATCTAATCAAAGACTAATCAGAGCTTTATCACATTCATACACTGATGGGACACACATCAGAGGCAACGAGGGGTTCAGTGTCTTGCCCAGGGACACTTCAGCACGTGACTGCTGGTGGAATCAAACCCCCAACTCTCGCAATGGAGGACGACGGCTCTAACCACTGAGCCACAGCTGCCCCCATATTTATATATTTGATAAAAAAAATTAAAAAAAACTTTTAAGTCATCTGGATAAGGACAGCTGGTTTAAAGGTAATGTCCTCAACATTAAGAAGTTTATAAGTATAATGTTTTAATGTAAATATAAATTTAGGAGACACGCTGCAGTAAACTGAGAGGTTTGCTCAAATGACACAAGAGTGAAAGAAAAATTAATAACTAAAGTAAACAGAGGGTTATTCACTCACTCCTTAAGTCTAATAACTTATTTGACACCAGCAAAACATCTGGACCCCCCCCCCCCCCCCACACACACACACACACACACACACTGTGTTCCACGTCAATAAGCAGCGCGTGTCCCTCACCTGCAGCCACATGACCAGAGGCAGAGGTCTGTCCTGGTCTGCAGGGTACAACCACCAGAACATGTGGGCCCCGGGTCTCACTTCCACATAGTCCCAGTCACCGGCACCGGCCCGGGGGGGCGAGGGGAGCCCTGCAGACACATGCACGGTTACAAACTCAGACACTCTTCCGGTTTCACAGACTTCAAAGGCTGAAGTGGAGACGTTTTGAAAAGTCCTCGTGGACACAAAGACTTGAGATGAAATGTGTGACCTTCGTGGAGAGCAGCAGCGAGCAGGAACCACACACACACAAGACCTGGAAACAGAGCCATTGTTGAAGCGAGACCCTCAGCCCCGAACAGTCTGAGTTTAAACAGCAAGGAGTCACGTGACGCCACCCGGGTCAGCTGACCAGGGTTGCCAAATAGTAAAAAACAACGAATTGTGTGCATTAAACATTTTTTCAACCTTTATTTATTAACCTGTGTGGTTTTTTTTCCCCCCTCTTGTCCTGTCCAGTATTGTGACACTTAGAATTATTGTCTGAGTGTCAAAGTGAAGCCCAACAGATTTACTTTCACAAGCAGAGCATGGCCTTAATGCTCTGCTTGATAAATAAATAAAACTTTATTAGAATATGCTTTGGGTTTGTTTCAGATGAAATGGACACGGGGATGAAAAACAAAGACGATAACAAAGCAGAAAAGTGAGAGAAGGGTTAAAAGGGAAATAAGGAGATAGGAATAGAAGAGAGAGAGAGAGATGGATAAAGAGAACACAAACATCAATGAAGTCTGCCTCTTGACCTGCGGAAAGAAAAAACAGACAAAACTGATAAACCACAACAACAAGCAACATACATAATGATACTTATAACATCATTAGAAAGTATTTTATACAGTACATAGTAATACAAGATGTATTTATTTATTTATTTAATTAATGTTTTGGGGTTTTTTGGGCAGGAAAAATGAAAGAAAGAAGAAAAAAAAGATGTATTTATTTAGATTGGCCAATAGTTGTGGGGTCACCTCCCTTCACCAAAGGAAGAACAAAGGCTGTTTTCCAAACATCTGGAATGGAGTTTTGGCTTATGGAGAGATTACAGATGTGGGACACTGGTACTACTACTTTTAAAATATTTAAATAAAGAAGTAAACAGAACAAATGTATTCCTCTGTGCTAACTAGCACTGAACCATGTGTGAAAATAAAAACAAGTAAAATTTTATGTAGGTGAGGCGATTAATGAATAATTTTTATTAAGTAGATTTAATTATTGAAATGGTAAAGTCATTATCATAAGAATATTATGAATCTGTTAAGCTTTAAAATGCTTATAAAAGTCATTATTGAAGTCATTGGTATCTGAATATCAAAATAAACTTTTCATTACTTTTAGTTTAAAAATGGCATAGTTAGTATTAATATAATACTTATTAATTATATTTAAATGTTAATTATAATATATATAAACAATCGTGAATGACGACACAACGCGCTCCCCACCCCCGGGCTGAAAAGGTTTCATCTCTAAATTGTTAATGCGAGCTGATCTTGAAAAGCTGACATTTGCTGAAAGCAGGAAAATAAAAGCAAAAAGTGGCAGAAAAATAGAAGAAATGTGGAGAAAAGCTGAACGAGGCAGATGGAGGCTGAAGAGAGTAAAAAAAAATAATCTGAAATTAATAAAAATCAAACTGAAATGAACAGAAAAAAGCTGAAATTAGAAACAAAAAAACTACAGAAAAGTTTTTTTTAAACACTGAAAGAGGCAGAATGAATAATACAAAGTTGAAAGTGTTAGAAAGAATCACAAAAGGTGGAAATTATCAAAAGAATACATCATGGAAGTGCTATTTGTGGGACAGATCTGGACTGGCAGGCCTCAGACTCGTGAAGTCTCTCAGATGAAAGACAAAACGTTTCTCCCTTAATGAAACTTGTCCAGATGACCTGATTTAACCTTTTTTTGTTTTTATGTATCTGGATGATTGAGCTTACAAACCTTTATTAGCATGAAAAACTAAAATTATCAGGTAAAGGTCTAAATCTTAGCTGGAAAAGCTGAATTCAGCAGAAAGAATCTGAACAAAGCTGAACCAGAACAAGAGCTGAATGGATCAGTTAAAGGTTGTAAACAACAGAGTTAGAAGAAGCTGCATTCATTTACAATGAGACAAACATGGCAGAAAAAGATCAATATTTATATGTAGTAAAAATTGCACAAACACCAAAAGTCATAGCAGAAATGTTGTGAATGAGCCGAATGTTTTGATTCATGAATTACTGAAATAGAATAAAACATTGCGGAACAAGTTGTGTTGTGAAAAATGTAAGGAAGAAAAAAAATGGATCTCAATAGTGAGAATGTCTAATAAACATTCACACTCATTCTTTTTATTGATGTTTTTCAAATTCGTGTTGCGATTTGTAAGAGAAGATGTGAACAATATCCTCCACGACACTAGAGGGCAGTGTATTAAACTAATTTAAAAACCATTAACCGGAAGTGACGTATAACGCTCCAGGCGGCGCGCGCGTGTGTCATGGCGGCTCACAGTCCAAATTTCATACGGCTCCGATTGTTCTTTGACTACCCGCCGCCGGCTGTGGTCGGGTGCCGGCTGTGCTGGCTGCTCGTGGACCTGAACTCGTGTCGCGTCGTGGCGGACCTGGAGAGCATCATCCGGGACAAGTTCGAGTTCAGCCGCGGGAGCATCCTCAGCCTGTTCGTGGAGGACTGCTACCTGCCGCACACGGAGAGCGTCTTTGTGGTCCGGGACAACGACACCATCAGGTCAGCGCGCGCTGTGGCTGGTGCTGTTGAAAGCAGCGAGTGTAACGAGGTTTAGTCAGGTCCCAGACCAGATTTATCCGCCTGCAGCACTGAGCAGCATGCTTCAGGACACTTCCGGTAGAGCTGGTTGTAAACACAAGCGCTCCGTACGGCGCATGCGCATTATGCTGGCGGTCTGAACATGACATTTCAAGAAGAGTAGAGAATATGGTGAAAACTAATTTAAAACTTTGTCAAAGAGGCACTACCCGGTCTGTACACACTGACAAGTGAAAGGAAGGACGACCCAACACTCAAACATTGATCACATTAGTATTTGGGAGTACGGTCACGAGATGCCAGTGAGTGATGATAGAATGAATTCAATTCAACAGAAGCGGGTAAATGGTAAATGATGGATGGATGGAGGATAGTGTTCTGTTTTGATCCGAGCTCTTATCTGGTAAAAACAGGTTGAATATTTTGTGATTGTTGTACTTTTTTAAAAAATTGTGTCAGTTCAGATCAGTGTGTTTCATGACAGATGTCAGATTTTCATCTGCCCAGAAACGAAGAATCAAACTCACATGATGAGGAATTAATACCACAGACGCGGTCCTCGTTCTTCAGAACCCAGACCTTTCTAAACGCCGAGAGACACTTATTTCATCTCCCCGGTCACTCCGAGTCTCTTGTAAACGAGTCCCCGAGGCTCAGTGGGATTAACCTGTCTAAATAAAGCTTGAATGAATTTGTGCACGATGTCAAGAAATTCTACTTCCCCTTTCCTCCTACAAAGCGGCATCGGACCGCTGCTCAAACTTGTGAAGGAGTGAGTGATTGATGTCGCGTTTGGATTTTCACATGAGAGAACAGGGCAGTAAATATCTACAGGTCAGCTCCACTCCACAATATTATGTTATTAGCAACAATCTGCTACTGTCGGATTTGCACAGAATGAACATTTCCCATAATAGAAATTCTGATTAATTCACAGCTAAATTGCCAAAGTCTTCATTTGAATGAGAAAGAGTTGAGGGAAAATGTTCATTCCATGTTGCCAGCAGTCACTGGGCTCATTGAATTGCTCATTCAGTAAGGCCAATGACTTCAGCTGAAGAAGCATTTGTTGGCAGTAGGAAGAAACAGTTGTCTTTAACTGGAAGGCCTCTCTGACAGAAAACAAGTATTTTTCATGTGCAGTTCGATGTGTTCTCTGTCTTTAAATAATCAAGGTACCGCATTTTCCGCCGTGCACGTCGCTCCGCCATAAAAGTCGCATCAGTCCAAAAATGTCTAATAAAGTGGAAAAATCCATAAAAATGTCGCTTCGCCGTATAAGTTGCATCTATCATGCGTCACCGCTGACAACCCAGAAACGTGGGCCGGTGTTGTGCCAAAAATCGATTGGCTGCCAAATGGTGGCTGCGGAGGCGTGCACGGGAGGACTTTAACACGAATTTAACAAGATTAACACTTAAAAGCAATTATTTGTTTGCTCAGATTTATAGTAAAGTTGTGTCTCAGTCTAACTTTTACTTAATAAATGCACTTTGACGGTCAAATTAGCTGCATTTCAAAAGTATTTGCTGCCTCGGTGCTCTGGGAGCGCACTCTGATGAAGGAAATCAAGAAGGAGCAACGCTGCGCATTTCTTCAAAATTTAACAAGATAAGCACCTAAAAACAATTATTACTTTGCTCAACTTTACAGTAAAGATGCGTCTCCGTTGAACTTTGACTTAATAAATGCACTTTAATGGTCAAACCAGCTGCTTTTCACCGGGACGGTGCAGCGAATTGAAGCTGATGTGACGGTTGCTCCAGGTGAGCTGGACGAAGGTGGCAGACTATGGCAAGCCAATTGTGTCATTAATAGCCACTTTTTCCTATTACATGACACAAAGGCATGCCAAACTACTCAAGTGCCATCTAGTGGCTGAAAATGTTAGTGTTCAATATTTTCAGTCAGAATGAATGAAAATGGTCATACCTCAGCCAAAAGTTGGTTTATAAATATGGGAAAAATCCATAAATAAGTCGCAGGGCATTTAAATTATGCAAAAAACTGCGACTTATAGGGCAAAAAATACGGTATTTATTAAACTTAAGAGTTTCACCGTTGGTGGGCTCAACTGGAGTCTGAGTCTGGTTCATCTTCTGAGTCTTCATTAAAAGATGTTTCTGTTTGCCAGGGTGAAGGTGGACTGTCTTACTCTGGTGAACGGGCACAGCATCTGTCCAGATGCTGCAGCAGAGACCTGCAGAAAGAGGCAAAGAGCCACAGAGGAGGACGGCTCAGGAGACGAACGTGTGAGCACACACTGTAAGAAGAAGAAGAAGAAGAAAAGAAACGAGAGCTCAGCAGACGGGAGCCATTTGGTTACAACTGTCAACAAGAACGAGACGCCTCAAGGCAAGAGACGCAAAAAGAAAAAGAAGAAAAAGACGGAGGCTAACAGCCATGGGGCTAACACCCCTACACCAGCTGCTCCCCCCCACAAGAAGTCTCTTGGCGTCAACAAGGCAACTAAAAGCTTCAAGAACATCCCAACCACACGGGTTCAAGGACAGAACGCCCCCATGTCAGTTTCTGTTGGTGTCAGTAAAGAGAACAAAACTTCAGGAAGTAAATCAACCAGTACGTTGACCTCTACCCCCACTGCTTCCAAGGCAAAGCCCAAACCCACCCAAACCCCTGCCCCTCCCTCATCCTCAGACACTGACTCCTCCTCAGATGAGGCTGTTGAAGTCTCACCAAAACCCAACCGTTTAACACCCACCACCACCACCACCTCACCTGAAGCTGCCTCCACCACAAAGTCCACAAACTCCTCCCAGAAACCTACAGACAGAGCAGTCCAGCCCCCAGCTCACACACGAACAGAGCCTCACAATCAGAAGAACATGCAGCCACATATCAGACATCAGCAGCACACCCAGAGCACGGCTGGTCTTTGGGGGGGTATCAGCAGCCGACAGGATGGAGTTTTGGCTGCTGCTGGTCCTGGAGACAGGTGGAAGTCTAAAGGTGATGACCAGGGTGAAAGAAGCTGCAGGGATTTAAAGGAGACTTCCTACCAGACGGATTCACTGTCCAACGTGTCCATAGTTGTCCAGGTTTGTCTCAACATCATCTGACCCAGTTCAGTGTCCTCCACCTCCTGAGTCTGCAGGGGGTCATTGTTCTTCTCTAGTTTTATTGCCTGTTGCAGAAAAGCAAAAGGCAGGCGATAATGTTTTGTTCGTACCTGTGTCTGTTAGCAAAATATCTCGTGACCGCCTGAACAAACAATGAAACTTGCAGAAAGTAATCCATGAACGTGTATCTACACCTGGAGGTGGCCACCACAGATAACTGATAATAACCAGCACAAGTGACTCTAACTCAGTCAGTTTTACGGATACAGAGCTAAAATTTGATGTGGTAGTAGCTGAGAGTTATTCTCAACACATACTTCACACGTGACTAGGGATGCACGATATTGGTTTTTTGGCCAATATCCGATATGCCAATATATTAAAACTTATTTGGCCGATACCAATACTGATATTTTTTCTCCTTTCCAGAGACTACATGACTTCTTTCTTTGCTGTGGAATTAAAATACTACGTGATTCTGCTTGGTCTTTGTTAAACCTGCTACCACATGCAGATGTCAGAAATATGGCTGAAAATGATGCAACACTTCAACTTGGATTATGTTTAATGTCAAATTTATTCATGACATTTACTCTCTAACACAATGACAACACTCAAATTTGTAAATTTTATATCCGTGAGTTATTTTGATGGAATGTTCGATATTTAACTTTAACGCTAATATTGTCCGATACCAATACCGTGCTGATAATATCGTGCATCCCTAGACGTGACATCTGGTAAAACTGCATTAGATGGTGGAAGTGATTTTTAAGGTTTGATCAAAACGGCTCCGTCTCCAACTCCGTTGTTTCTCCACATGATCTTAGTTTAATCTCTGGCATGAGAGGTCATTTTGGAACCAGAGACTGGGGTCTAGGGATGTGGAGTTACTCCCCCGCACACAAACATGGCGTCGCATGACCTTTGTTTCAAGCATGAATGAGCTAAATACAGCTGAACGTATTTAAACCTACAGCTGCAAGGTAAGAGCAGGAATCAACAACCGGCAACACCTGGAACAGAGACGTAGGTGTTTTTTATTTGCCTTTTTTCAACGAGTGTAAAACCCTAATTGTTTAAGTCGGGGAACTAAAACTGACTGGGATCCTCCTGGGGGGATGCTAGTCCCTTTCCGGCTTCAGCTTTGAGGATCCTGGGTGAGGACCAGTAGACAGTTTGTGGTGTGCTGTAGCTGTCCGCCACAAACATCAGGTTCTGGTTTGGTTTATTTCTCATATATATATAATATATAAAATCAACACAAGGTCAACATGACAATAAAATGCTCATGACGAGAAGAACCTTTCTCGACTCGCCAACCACACACCCCCCCCCCCCCCCCCAGCAAATATCAATGCATGCAACAAAAATGCAGAAACAAGGCACCGAAAGTGAAAAAGGAGTAAATGTACAGCAGCATGGTCCAGAGGCAGAGTGGTTCTGATGACAGTGAGGTTGTCAGGGCACCATGGTACTGTTAGCGGTGTGGCTCGGTTAGTGGCATGGGCTTTTAACAGGATTTGTGGTCGTTGCTCCGGTTGCCACAAGTGGAAGGTACAATTCTGCAGGTTAAAGTTAGAATTTAACAGGTTTGTAAATTTTATTAAAAACATGTAAAGTTTAAGGCAAATGTTTTAAATCATGCTAAATTAGAAATATATGTTCCAATTGTACTTCCCTTTGTTACTGATTAGTGGGAGTGGTGGCGCAGAGGTTAGAAAGGTGGGCCTGTCAGAAGGTCACCGGTTCAACTCTGCAGACGGACAACATCAAAATATTTGTGGGAAAGGTGAAACACCCACATCTGTCTCCACCCACATTTGCCATCCTCTGGGCCCTTGAGCAAGGCTCTTAACCCCCACCATCTGCTCCTCCAGGCGCCTTACACAGCAGCTCTCTGCTCCACACAGAGCGCTGTGGTAGCTCGGTGGTCTGTGTGCGTCAGGAAGGACAGCCGGCGTAAAAATAATCACCAAATCTTCATGTGAGTGAGTTCACTGTGATGACCCCTGAAGAAGGGAGCAGCCAGAAAAAAAAAAAAAAAAACTAAAAAGCTTTATTCCTGATTATATAGCATTCTAAAACTAGTAGTTGGATTTTACTTTATAATGTACTAGAATTGAAACTAATTAAAACTTTTCGCTGTATTGTAGCTTGTGTATTTAATGAAACTAAACTGCAGTTTTTCCCTTTATTTGGTGACATAATTTGTTCAAATGCAAAATGAAACACTTTGGTCTTGGTGAGCCAGCGTCTGGTCAGACACTGACTGAAACCTCTTGTGCTGGAGTAGAGAGTTACAGGAAACTGTAGCAACTAGTTTTTATTTCACCGCTGCAGCTGGCCGGTCACTGGTGTGCAGGAAATGAAATCTAACATCGTTAGTTAGTGTATGGAAGAACAACAGTAACTTCTGGACTGTGTGAATGTGTCTGTTTTTATAGAATGGAGCAGAAAGTGTTGCTCAGAAGGACTACAGCACTATGCCTCTGTTAGCTGCACCCCCACAGGTGGGCCAGACAATCGCCTTCAAGGTAAGTCGAGTGTACCGTAAGGCCGTGCATGTTGTGAGCATGATGAAAAATAAATGACGTGCTGGCTGCCATTTTGGTGTACAGCTACATGTAGGTGAAATGGTAAATGGACTGGATTTATATATCGCCTTTCTCTCTTCTCAAGACATTCAAAGCTCTTTACAACAATCTGTGCCTCATTTACCCGTTCATACAGCTCTATACTAGATCTCAACAAATCTGAACAAATCATTCTAAAGAGACTAATCAGAGCTGCAGACATGTTCCTGTTTTTAGTATTTTACATCACTTTATAATGTAGCTGTTTTTGTTTAGTTTTTAATATAATTTTCGTCCATTTATTTTTTTATTAAATATGCTTTCTTTGATGATTGTTGTCACCATTAGTTGTTAAAAACGGGTCTCTCTTGTAAATGAGTCCCGTGGCTCAATGAGACTAACCTGTATACATAAAGGTTGAATGAATTAATATTTTTACTTTCCATAAAGTAACAAAAACATATTTCTGAGTCAAAGCTTTGTCCCAATTGTCACACAGGCACATTTATTAACAAACAGCTGTAACTCTACTAAATGTCTAAAAAATAAACTATTTACCGTACATATCCATCCAACCATCCATTATCTTTACCCGTTTATTCCATTTTGGGTCACGGGGGTCGCTGGTGCCCATGTCCAGCAATCACTGTGCGAGGGGCGGGGTACACCCTGGACGGGTTGCAAGTCCATCACAGGGACACATAGAGACAAACGAGACAAACAACTATTCACTCTCTCACTCACACCTAGGGACAATTTAGAGTTACCAATCAGCCTAACATGCATGTTTTTGGACTGTGGGAGGAAACCGGAGTACCCGGAGAAAACCCACGCATGCACGGAGAGAACATGCAAACTCCACCCAGAAAGGCCCCTGGACCGGGGTTTGAACCAGGGACCTGCTCGCTGAGAGGCAGCAGCTCTACCAGTTGCGCCACCGTGCTGCCCCATTTGCCGTACATATATTAAATAATAATCCTCTTCAGATGCGCCGCCTCACAACGTTAGTAAGCGTATGTGAAGCAGCACGTGAAGCATTGCTAAAGACACAGTGCTTAGTGGCTAACAAGACGGCTAACTTTAGCCGTCTTGTTAGCCGACCTTCTCTTCGATATGATAAGCTGCTGATTTATTAATGTCGCACCACCTCACACTGTTCCTCTCATAAGGCACAGCACGGCTAAATGAGATTTGACCCGTGTATTTTTTTTTTTGTTTGTTTAGGAAAGGAGTCTGAAAACACAGTCGGAGCTGCAGCATATAACTTATAGCGCTGTTTTAAATGGTGAAGAAGATTCATAGTTCTGACCTTTGTTGGGACGTGTTTTCAGCATCGCTTACAGAAAACATCTTTCTGCTGTTCATCTGACAATTTAAATCCAAACCATCTCCAAATCAAAGCCATTCTTTTTATTTTTTTGCACAGCAACGCTGCTCTCCTCTGTTTACGGTGCTTGTGTTAAACACCCACCCCCCACACACACACCTGGAGAAGCCGGGGGGTTAGAGCGCACGGGTGAGGTGCTGTGTTTGTATTCAAAGAGAGAGACGAAGGGGCTGAGTGCAGTTGGAGGCACAGACGGGAGAAAAAGAACTACACAGATTTTCAAGTCTAATAATACTTGATGGCTGCGATAGAGCCATTTTAACCATCGTAAATAGAAAATCTCGCAATACATCAAGTATATTCGATACATCCCCCAGCCCTACTGCATCTCCATAAAGTAGGTCAGCAGCAGGAAGCATGAAGTGCTCTAAAACTTCCTGGTAGACTGCTGCGTTGACCTTGAACCTCAGAAAACACAGTGGACCAACACCAGCAGATGACATGTCCAAAGTTATATTCTCTGATGAAAGTAAATTTAGCATTTTCTTTGGAAATCAAGGATCCAGAGTCTGGAGGAAGAGGAGAGGCACAGAATCCACTTGCTTGAGGTCCAGTGTCAAGTTTCCACAGTCAGTGATGGTTTGGGGTGCCATGTCATCTGCTGGTGTTGGTCCACTGTGTTTTCCATATATCAGTCTTATTTATTTTTATAAACCACCTCTGATTAGTTCTTCACCACAACGTTGTCTCTGGTCAGAGAGTTCCTTGGTCTTCATGGAGTCTGTTGCTTGGTGGTAGACCTCACTGCTTAGAGGTATTGAACTGCTGTTGATTCAAGAGACTATCAGAGCAAGTAGACTGTATTCTGAATCTTGGCAGCACAGTGGTTCAGTTGGTAGAGCTGCCATCTCTCAGCGAGAAGGTCCCCAGATCAAATCCCAGCTGAGGCCTTTTTAGGTAGAGTTTGTGCATTCTCTTGGGTGCATGCTTGGGTTTTCTCCGGGTACTCCAGTTTCCTCCCACAGACCAAAGACCTGTTTCAAAACGCTTGTAAAAACTCTGTCGGTAAGGGTTTTAGAGTTCACTCAGCTCTTCTAATCAATGTTCAAGTTGTTCCATATTAAATACATAATTGACCACTAAGCTTTTGTCTTGAGGTTTAGCTCTTCTGCTTCATCATCACCATCCACTTTTGGTCACCACTTGCCTACAGTTCAATTCCAAGAACTACAATACCCAAAGCAGTGGTTGATAAAGCCATAACTTTATCATCTTATTTCTGTTTATAGCCCTATTTGCATGGGATTAGTTTTACCTAGGGACCACGTGTTATTTTTAACAATTATGGAGATTGTCTGTGATGTTAATCCCATGCGAATCTGCCATGTCAATAATTTGTAAAGTAAGAATTGAACTCCAAGGTCCAGTGATAATACTAATCCAATTCGAATAGGCATCTCTGTGATTTGGACAGAAATGGGCAGGATCCGATGCATAATAGGCCGGGGGGTGGGTGGGGGGTGGGGGGTGGATTTGTTTAAATTGCCTTTGATACCTTGGTTCACCCAAAATTTCGATTCACTCAAGGGTTTCTTCTCACGTCCAGTGCCTACATTTCTTCTTAGCGCCCGTCATCTTGAACACACAAGTGGATGTTACGCAATACGCAGCGCGTTAACATCACATCCGGAAGATGTCCGTAAATTTCAGCTAAATCTCAGGCTTTGGTTATCCCGTGTGAACGCGCCACATAAAAAGCAGACGTTGGGGAGTAATTTATTTATTACTTGTGGTCCCTAGGTAAAACTAATCCCGTGCGAAGAGGGCATGCAACTACTACTGGCCTTTATTTACAGATGAATTTTTTGTTGTGATGTATGATTTTTATTGTATTGGGACCAACAAAAAACACCTTTAGTAAAGATCTATGAGCTGAAGGACCAGTAAAAAAGTTAATGTGTAAATAATTAGGTTTGTAAAGAAATCATAGCTTTGTATTTAAAGGTTAATTTCTCATTGCATTTCATTTCTTTACAGCTGCTGGAGTTAACGGAGAACTACACACCAGAAATATCTGAATATAAGGTGAGTAGATTTGCTTTTGAAAAAAGGAAGTGCAATGTTTGGCTGAGTTTGATGAATTATTTAGTGCTTCTGGAAAAGAAAGTTTAAATTACCGGTAGTTGAGTTTTAAACTTTTATTCAAATCACTAACCTTTTGATTTTTTTGTTACTTTAGGAGGGAAAGATTGTCGGTTTTGACCCAACAACTGAACATCTTGAACTTGAACTTCTCAATGCTTCTCAAGGTAGGGATGAAGTTTATATAGATACACAAGAAATTACCAATATGGAAATTTTGGCTATCACCGATACGATATTGGGAGGCCCAGGTGAATGCCGATAACCGATATAATGGCTGACAATTGCTGAGCTATTTCCACCCCCAATAATCTAAGAAAACATCGAGTGGAGCGGGGCTTGTTTGTTTAGCACAGCTGTTGGCAACCTAGAAGCTAATCAGATCTACGCTATACCTAGTCCTACTCTAGGTTATCAAATGTGTTACAAAAATATAAATTAAACAAACACACTTCCCTGTTCATTGTTTAGTCAGTCACGTATGGTGACAGTCTGATCATCTCCTTAGATAGAGAACTTTACTAATTGGCGTTTATGTATGTGAATGTTTCTGTAAAGTGCCCTGAGACAACGTTGTTGTGATTGTGCGCTATATTGTAGTGAACCTGGTCTGACCCTTATCTGACCTCAAATCTACCAGATGGACAGAGACTGTTATTTTCATTAATCTGAATAAGTCTGGGCCATCTGATGACTTTCTTTCTTGAATTAATCAAGCAGAAAAGACAATTCTTTATAATCATTACTGTCTTACAAATGTTTTGATAATCAAATTGTGTTAGTTCACTCAATGCTTTACAGGTTGAAAAGAACTACTCATTTTTATTTTACATAAACAGTAAGTAATGATTTTTATTCCTCATTCAAAGAAGAAATCACCTGAATATGCATTTCTTGATTTTCTGTCTGAAATGAGCAAGCTGTCGTAAGTATGTGAAAGGTTGGTTTTCGGTCAACTAAATGTTTACCGAGAAAGATGTCATGTTTAAACTTTTTCAGAAGATTACCAAGAGTGAGACTCCACGAAGTCTGGTCGACTGCAATAATCTTTTCTGTATGTTGAAAACAATCCTTGACTTTTGATAATAACTTACGTCAAAAAACCACTCCTCTTTCTGGTCCATCCACGAATCAGAAAGCTCTGAAGTAAACTCGGAAGTAAACTCAATTAAAAATGTGACAACTTCCCGGTTCTATGAGTCGAGTCTAGAGTGCAGTCGGTTCCAAAGAGTGCAGTAGATTCCATGGAGAATGGAAAAGTTCTGAAGGAGTTCAGAAGAGAACTAGAGTTATGGAGAGTTTTGGAGTTGCCGAGAATCCAGAGACGTTTGGAATTATAATTTCTGTTTGAGCTAACCACGCACGACTCTCTAAGGATTTTAGCAGTTCTCAACGGAGACGCTGATATCAGTTGAAAAGGATTCTTACTGAGGTGATCGATCATCAACAAGGTAAAACTTCTTCTTCGACCAAGTGTACCGTGGGCAAAGCTGAGATTTGACGGAGCGTGCAACTTCTGGTCAAACAGATTAAATTCTCTCACATAGTTCTCTGTAAGATAATCTCCTTTCATCTTAAACTCTTCTCTCTCACAAAATCAGTACAGATATTTTAGAAATATCTGAAGCAAAGTCCTCAAATCACCGCCGAGTGATTTGAAGTTCATTATTTGTGAAACTGTCTGTTATTATTTTCATATTTTGCCAAATTAATGTAAATGTTTGATGTTAAACTTTGATTCTGAAAATAAATGACTCCATTCATTTGATGGGTCAAAGATAATGACGTCTCTCGTTCACATTTCTGTTAAATTCAATGCACGGCATTTACAGTCAGAAAAATGAAGAACTCGTGAAAAGTATGCATAAATATATACCCCGTATATTTGTCATACAACAAGTGACACGTACCCACGTGACTCACTACAAACTGGTGGCTCGCACGTCTCATGAATGACTGTTAATTCGTGTAAAGATTGATTTAAATGTTGGCATGTTGAAAAAGTAACAGCTGATGAGCTGTAAATGTTTACGCAGCGGCTGGGCTGCGCGCTTGGAGCTCGGCTCTGCAACTTTACGCTGCATGTTCTAAGCGTTGGGCTAGTAATGTTTTAAAAGCTGAAATTGTGTCATTGAGTCTTTATAAAAGCTGAATTGTACGTCTGTTACGTGTAACTAAAAGCTGATGAGCTGTGGAAGACGTTATTCTGTCTAAAAGTACGAGGTTCTGCTTTAAGACCCGGCTGTGGACCAGTTCGGTTCTGTTCAGTTTGAACGAGTATTTTGAATAGATGGATAAACGTTTTAAAAGCTGAGCGCCGCCTCAGGACATAGTTAGGAGTTGTTTCGTTACAATTTTTAACAGAAAAAGTGCATTTTGATGGTTTAAAAGACGAAAAAGTGACGAACTATTTTTCAGGCTAAACCTAGCATGCTGGCTGAAAACGTCTCCTGATTGGTTGAATTCGCTGTTGTGGAGCGCTCTGATTGGTTGAGAAGGCTGACTGGCGTGGCTACGTCACTTCCTCTCACCCTGCGCTGCTTTGCCATTGGTGATTTCAGTCACGTGACCCGGAAATGAAATTCGTTTTCATAGGAAAATAAAATCTGCTTTTTAAAGCTGAAAAGTAACTTTAAAGTGGTTTTGACACATTGGTTAAGTGCTTCGAAGCTATTTGCTGAAATTTTGCCACGTTAGAGTTTAAAATTCGTCAAAAAAACGATGTTTTTAAACAACGCTAGCGATGCTAATTTTAAGCTAAACAGCTAACGACCGGAGCTTAAACTACGCTTAAAATCACTAAATGAAGCTGAAATATTGTTCCAAAAACTCATGTTCAGGCTAAGAAGTCGTGTTTGTTGAAATTTTGCCACTTTTGTGTAAAAAATCCGTTCAGAAATGTTGATTTTAACCGAGTTTAGCCGAAGCTAACTTCAAGCTAAGCAGCTAACAACAGGATGTCAACCGAACGCCACAGGAAGTTATAGCACCCCTAGTGGACAACACAAAAAGTGACGGAGTTATAATTGTTGAGGTAATACTGACATCTCCTGGCGAGACGTGAGATCACAGGTTTCACTTCGTTTTTAGGTAAAGAGTGAAATTAAACGTTTTCTTTATTTTTCTGTAAGACAATTTTGAGTTAACAAACTTCCTCAAAGCTGAATAAAACACTGTTATCTTACATTTTAAAAAGTAATAGGTATTTATGCAAAGAAGCATTTACCAAAAAAATTTTATTCACTGATAAATCCTTAAAACAGGTTCATAATAAAATTAGAAACTTTAAAAAAAAAAAACAGATACAGTTACAAATATTCACAGAGTGGAATAGTTTACTCATTTTGCTTGAAGGATAATACACGTTTAATTGCAAAATCACTAAATAAGAGTAAATTTATCAGGAAAAAGAGATTTTCTGTTTAATTTGCCACCTAAATAAAATATATCTCTATTTAATTTTAAATAGAAGCTTTACAGGAGCAAATACAGTTTTTCTGAAGAAAGACTGATTATTCCTCATCATCAAATTCTTTTCTCTTTTCACCCACCTGGGTTGATGAGTAACTGTTTAAAATAGCAAATTTCTGGAACAGAACGGTTTAAAAAACGTTTTAAACTAATATTGCTGTGAGACTAAAGAAAAATTTGCAGGTTTATAAAAAATTCAGTGTTTTAGAGTAAAATACACTAAAAAACAGCTTGGTACTCTAGTATCTGTGGAAAATAAGCACAAAAAGTAACACTGCCAAAAGAGCGTTTACTTAAATATTCATGAATTGGGGTAAAACCTGAGAAAGGTACCCACAGTTGAATAAGTGACTTATAACAGTACTTCTGTGTAAACCCAAAGCTAAAATAAGTGTGAAAACTCATTGACTTGAATACAAATATTTACCTGTAAAATATCTAAAGCTTGCAACTGTTCAAACAGATAAATTACTACACAGTGAAAACATGACAGGTGTGTTAGAAAAAGATTTTGACCCAAAAGGAATGGCGGACTGCTTGGAGAATGCGTTCGCGCTTCTCGGAGCGTCCTTACATTCATATATGATTCAGACAGAGCGCATGAACCCAAAAGAGTTAGTGGACAATCTGAAGGAGGTTGCAGAAAGTGTGACCTCTGCAGAATTCACAAAGTCCAGTTATGAAAAGCTGGCTAAAATTGCAATCTTGCTGAAAGAGTCATTCTATAAGGCTGTTGAGAAAACTGATTACCTCAAACAAAGGTTAGACAGTGAAATAGTGTTTGCTCAGGAAATTGAAGAACACGTCCTTCAATTTAAACGTGAACACGAGGCCCGCATAAGACAACATTATGAACAGATGTCTCAAGAACAGCAAAATACAAGTGCAGAAATTGATTTGCTGAACAGCAAACTACAAGTACTTGAGGCGTCACTATCCGAAGAAAGGGATAAAGACCGTGTGCACCAAGCCACGTGTGCAGATAACGATGTGCTACAACAACAGTTGCAGTTTGCAAAAACTGAACTGGAACAATGCAAAATAGATAAACAAAATCTACAAAAGCTACATATGCGCTTAGAAGGTGACTACTGTACATCCCAGGAACATTTAAAAAAATGTGAGGCGAAACTAATAGCAGCAATAGAAAGAGGTCAGAATGTTGCTCAAGGTGACCTGGAATCCAAACCAGACCTTGAACAAAGTCGGACTAATACACCAATTACTCAACGACCTCTTTACTCACATGGTGCTTTTAGACCCATCCAATCACCTACACAAACGGGCAGAGCAACACCCCCACAACTGATCACGCATGTGAGACCATTGAAATCTTCTCCATCAATGGATGACTTGCAAAAAATCTCAAAATATGTACAACGTTTCATCCCTGAACCGTTGGGCTCCGCTGGAACGAAAGCGTACCTTAGAGATCTGGATTTCAGATTGAGAGCTTATCCAAACGCTACGGTAGAAGATAAAATCAGTCTGATACGACTCACTTCGGACAGAGAGGTGTTTACCTTCATCGAGCGTCTACCAGATGCAACGAGAAGGGATTACAAACTTCTGTGCGAAGCTCTGATCAAAGAGTACGACACCTGCGCAGGGCCTGCTGGTTTTCCAGCCGCAGACAAGGTCACGCAGGGCAAGAATGAACATCCAAAAGTTTATTACAAAAGAATCTTCCAAGCTT